GTGTCTGACATGAGGATGAGTCACGGCCATTGCTTGACCAATTTGCTCTCTGTGAAAGCTTGAGAAAGCTTTTTCTCTCCATGTGACTCTCCCCAGGCTCACATTACACCATCAAACACATTCCTCTGAGGCTCCATAATCTTCTTGATCAGAAAATTTGGAGCACAACTGAGTTACATGTTGTTACAGTACAGGTTAGGACACTGATTTTCAACAAAGAATTCCACACTCTAACAAATGGTCAGATGCAAAGCATTGAATAAATGCATTTCTGGATATACAAGCAATAATATAAGTGTCCTCTCATTGGATCCTTTCTTGGAGGCCTGCCGGAGACTGTGCTCCCACAACATGTGGCAAAAAATTCAGTAGGCTAATGCTATGAGACAATGGTGTCTCCATGTCTTGAGGACTTTAACATGTGCTAAACGTTTTATAAACACAGCCTTTCTAAATCTCTATAAAACATTTGGGGAAGGTGTCCTCACTTTACAGATGAGGCAGCTGGGCTACAGAAAGTGACAGAACTCACCCAAAGTCACAAGTGTAGCAGGTGTCGGCACCATGACCAATGCCAGGTGTCCTATGAAAACCTGTGTGCATCTCTGCTGGTCCACCGGGGTTTGAGCGCCATGACCAAGCGACTTACCAGTATGACCAGCCGTAGTCCCAGGTCTGAGGCTTCCAATCTTCTGGCCCAAGGTTCACAGTGATTTGAAAAACAGTTGTGTACATCATGTGAGCCACCATGCCTAGGAGCCCTGCACAAGGAAAGCTCTGTGAGCCACAGTTAAGAGTGAACAGCACAGTGGAGGAGCTCCTCTCCCTCACACGAGTGGATGTCAGTTCTCCAGCTTCCGTAAAGTGCTTATGGTGTATCTGTACCTACACATCCTTAACCGTTTCACCTGACACCTTGTTCCTGCAGTTGAAACTGCACAGCCAGATAGAAAAAGGACTAAGCACTATTTAGGAGAATTGGTGTGTGTGTGTGTGTGTGTGTGTGTGTGTGTGTGTGCGCCTGCCATGTTCTGATAGGCAATTTAGAGAAGTTAAGTAACTATCCCAGGGCCGCACAACATTAAGTAGGAGTGATCAGAGCCTGGCAGGCTTCCCCCAAGATTCAAGCTGAAGCCACTGCACTAAGCGAGGAGACTTCTGCCCGCAGAGGCAGCACACCCACTTCCCTGGGTAGGACAGAGCTGTACTGATGAACTTTCCTCTCCTTCTATGCCTGTCCGCTTTCTTTTCATCTGCCCCCTAAAGCAACGTTGCTCCCCCCCAGTGGCGTTCATTCTCTGACTTTCTGGGGCATGTTGTCCAGATGAACCAGCCATTGATGGGAGAAAGCCAGCCTAGTCTTTGCCAGGGGGGTACAGCGGCCCGAAGCACTGTGCTCCCTGTGGGGCAGGCAGTGGCAGATCTGCATGCTCTAGCAATGCTTCTGGGAAGTACCTGCGAGCACCATAAGGATGGCTACCGAGGCATCCACCTTGAGCCGGTTGAGCTCAGGTCTGTGACAACTCACTCTAGAGCTCAGGAGGATGGTACTTGTCAGCATCAGAAAGATGTCCAGGACTTCAGCCCCAATGGAGAGCCACAGCACACCTGCCGAAGGAAGGAAGGGTTGGGCATTCTGCATTCAGGAGTACTGAAAGATTTAATCCTTTGGTTCAGATTACTTCTATGTTTGTTCATTTGCTGTTACTGTCACAAAGTACCACAGCTGAGTAGTTTATAAGGAAGAAGGGCTGATTTAGCTCACAATTTTGGATGCTGAATGTCCAAACAGCATACCTCTGATTCTTGTGAAGTCATCCTTGGATGAGCTGCATCATGGTGGGTGGCATCATGATGCCTCATGCATGAGAAGAAGGGATGCATGGTGTTACAGGAAGCCAGAGAGAGACGGAGAGGAGGGCGGGCTTGCTCCTCTATAAGAATTCTCACAAGAACTAACCCAGAGTCACTTGAGAACTACACTGATCCCTCTGAGTGTAGGACCTCAATGGCCTTAACACATTCCAGCATTCAGCACCTCTTAAAGGTACTTTCAGGGGACCAAAATTCCAACACATGAACTCCTGGCAGACACACTCAGACCATATCGAGCCATAGTGACTTGTACAGCAAATCATGAAAAGCTAATGTCTTGGAGTGAAAAATCATAAGATGCAATGTTCTGTTGCATCTTGGAAGGCTGGCAAACAAAAGGGGCTCCAAAGGCCTGAAGATGTTTGGAAGGATTGCTCATAGTTAGGATGGAAAAAAAAAAAACTAAACAAAATTCTAATGTGAAGCAGTGAGAGACTAGGGATCTCCACTCCTGCAGCTCAAAAGGATATATGTTGTTTTGATGCCATCAGAAAAATATTGTCTCTGTCTTTTTAAGGAGATACACGAGCTTGAAGATGAAGGCAGAAGAACCTGAGAGTTGAGAGTCCCATTTAGAAGCTCCAGAACCCTTGCTTTCTCTGTGCAGGCTGCTTGTTCATTCTCTGATGGGATCCTGCCTCTGGCTATCAGGAGCTACACTGGACGTGGAGTAGGATGGGTAAAGGGGATGGGGAGGGAAACTTATATTTATAAAAGCCATACTATGAGTCAAGTTAGGAGAGGGATACAGCAATGAATAGAACAAATATGGTCTAGTTTCTGCTTTCACAAAATCTCTGTTCCAGCTGGGAAAACAGGTACTAAAAAGACAACTACAACTTTAATGAGTGATACACAGCAGAGAAAGTGATACAAAGCTACAAACAGTGTTATCTTAGAGTTGCTCTGTGATGGGTCCTAGCTGAATGTCTCCCTCCAAAGTCTCATACACTCATAAGCGTGGGAACATTGTAGCTAAATATGACATTAGGAAGCGGGGCCTGCTTGGGAAGGGGCACATCAGCGGATGTGACCTAGAAGGGTGCATCTCCGTCCCTGGCTCCTCCTCTCACGCTCTGTTTCCCAGCTCCTGTGATGGGCACAGTTTTCCTAGCCCAAGCCCTTCCGCCATGACATCCACCGTGGAGCTGACTGACTAAGGGCTACAATCATAAAACACAATGAACTTCTCCTTTAAGTTACAGGTATCGGATATGGTGTCTCAGTTATGTGAAAGTGATTGACAGAGACACAGACTTTTCCTATTTCTCCTTCACCTCCTGCGATAGCTCAAAATTGGCTATGATGGGAGTATTTACAGCATAGCAAGTAGGAAATTGGCTATGATGGGAGTATTTACGGCATAGCAAGTAGGAAATTGGCTATGATGGGAGTATTTACGGCATAGCAAGTAGGAAATTGGCTATGATGGGAGTATTTACGGCATAGCAATTGGGCTTCCCTCTCCATGCAAAGTGGGTTTTTACATTTGCCGACACATCAGGGTTATCAGGGACATCAAGAGGGCCTGGGGTTCTGGCTTTTGATCTTGACTTCATAGGAAAATGCAAATAACTGTCTCATCTTTCCCCCAATAAACAATAAAATAAAATAAAAAAAAATAAGAGTAAAGTATTTACCTTGTTCCTCAGCTGGTATTATACTCTGGAAACTCCTACATTGCTCACCTAAGAGATACAGACAATGCAGCCATAAGTAGAGTTTGACGTTAGGGGAGAAAGTGTTGTTTCCAGCTTCTTAACTGCATCATAGTTCATTTTGAATAAGGAAAGGGGACTGTGGGAGACTACATTAGAGCTCGTAGACCTGTGCTTCCTCCTCTGTGGAGCGTGATACATCTGCCTCACTGAGTTCTTTGAGATGGTTTGGATGAAAATGTGCCCCCAAAGTCCCTCGTGGTCAGAGGTGAGATTTTGGAAGGTGACTTGACCATGCGCCAGCTAGCCCTGTGGGTGAGCCCTTACTGACTTTGTGGCTGAAGGTGCTATAAGAAAGTAGAGCTTGGTTAGAGGAATTAGGTCAACGTGGGAGTGGCCTACATGGATACACTCTTGGCCCTAGCTATTTTCTCTCTTTCTGGATCTTTCTAACCTTCTCTGCTTTCTAACTACCTTGAAGTGAGCAGTATTTTCTGCCTTGCCCTTCTACCGTGAGGTTTTTGCCTTGCCATGGCAGGCTTGGCCATGTGACCATTAGTCCATGAACTGGGAACAAAATAACCCAGGTGGGTTACCGTTGGTCAGAAGCTTTAAGAGCCAATGCATTGCTTGCCTGGCTCCCATTCCCTTGCCTCTATAACTGCAGAAGCACATGTCAAGGTGATGTCTCCGTCAGCCCAGGCTCCTTTACAGCTACAATGAGGACGTCCTTTGATAAAATGAAAAGAACATATAAAAGGAGCTAGAAATAAGTGTGTTGGCTTAAGCGACTGGCAGCTGAGGGGCCAGTTGTTATTGCAGCATATCCTAGCCCGCCAGGGCTGATACTGAGAGCCTTAGACTAAGGGCTCTTAGCTCACGAGACAGTCTTCATTATGATATGAATCTCTAGATTGTTTCTGATTAAAGATAGTTAAGGAGAAAGTATCAAAATTTGTGATTTTTTGTGAACTAGAGCTGACACAGAAATATGCCTGTTTACTGAGAGTCTTAGTTTTTATAAGTGGCCCAGTGTCTTACATCCCAGCGTAATTCTTGACTGTGAAAAAAAAGGAGTTGAGGGTGTGTGTGTGTGTGTGTGTGTGTGTGTGTGTGTATGCACATATTAGGTGTATGTGTATGTATGCATGTATAAGGTATGAGCAGGACCTATTTTTGTGTGTTTAGTTACTGATAAAGGCAAGTACAAGTATTTCTATAGTACACATTTGGAGATCAGGTTCAACCAAGTTGGTAGAGACAGGAATTGAAGTGAAGTTTTCCTACCTGAGACTCAGGACCTTTTTCTATATCACCACCCACTATCTCTACCTACTGTGTGAAGGGGTATACTAGTCTCTTCTCTTTTGCCAGAATAAAATACACTAGGCTGTGTATTCCCTAAAGCAAAAAAGACTTGTTTAGCTCACAATTCAAGAGTGTGGTGCTGGCTTCTGCTCAGCTCCTGTGCGGGAATTCTAGCTGTTGGAATGGCATGGTGGATGGTATCAGAGTATGAGTACAAGCAAGGGGGAGAGAGGAGCCACATGGCCAGACAGGAAGCACTGGGGCTCAAGAGACAGATTTGCTCTTTTTTTTTTTTTTTTTGGAACCAGGGATTGAACTCAGGCCCTTGCGCTTGCCAGGCAAGCACTTATTCTACTGAGCCATCTCCCCAGCCCTTAGATTTGCTCTTTTTGCAAGAACCTGCACTCTTGCAGACTAACTAGGGTCCTATAAGAACTACATTAATTCACTCTAAGGGTGGCTCCCCAAAGTCCTAATCATTCTCCAGGCGCCACCACTTCAGCCACCCCAATACCCCCACACTGGAGACCAAGCTTCCAGCCCACAAAGCTTTGCAGGGTGCATTCAGATCATGTCCAAACTATAACAAGGAGTAAAGACCTCTAGTCTTCAGGACAGAGGTACCTTTCCCAACAGAATAAATAAGCCAGGATCAGAGCCAGGCTCAGGCAGCAGGGAGAGAGTGGTGGCCAGCCAAGCAGATTAAGAGAGTTTCCAGTAGCTTAGGAGGACGAGATTAGTGTGGAACCAAAGAGTCAGACCATAGTGACCCCTTGATTAACATGAATCCTCAGAAATGATGTTCATTTTGAATAAAGCTAGCAGGATTAAAAGGAAAAATCTTTATAAATCCCACAAAGCCAGAGAGGCGGGTGTCACATATCTTGGCAGTGCCATGGCAGTCAAGTGGCACAGCAGGCCAGCCCAGCGGTGTGGTATCCAAGTCCTCGGCACTTTCCTCTGCCATGCCTGTCTACTCATCCACCTCCAGGTAACTCATGCACCCCTCGTGGGCCACTCACGTCCTTCTCTCCTTGGATTGTTGGAGCTTAGCAGAACAATACTGAGTCTAAATGTCACATTTTTTGATAAATGGACTTGGCTAAGAAAATGAGCACCCCAAACTTGCCCTAACCACAACTTTTCAAATCTTTCAGAATGTGGGAGGAGAGGTGGAAAATTTTTTTTTTTTTTTTTTTTTTAAGACATTCTAGGCTTTGGGAAGAAAGAAAAGAGCTATTGGAGGTGCTGGAACTAGCATTTCAGGTAAGGGATTCCTGGGAGAGTCAACATTTAGGGAGAAGGAGCTCATTCTGAAGGAAATACCCAAGGAGTCCCATGGGGTAGCAGAGCAGAGGGTGCTGGGGCAACCAGACATCTCTTTCCAGGACTTGTTTAGGGCCAGAAGTGCCTTTCATAGACAGAGGTCTTGTCTGCCAACAACTGAGCCCATTTGGCCTCCACGCCCCTCTCTATCGCACTGTTTAGGCTCCTTCCCATTTATTTCCTGCTTACCTCTTTTCTTTCTTGTGCCCCAATCTTACAGACCTTTGTGATAAGTCAGACTAAACAGATGTTTGTGTGGCCTATTCTCCAAGGGGGATGGGGTGAGATGGGGGCTCCCAGTTTGTATGCTCTGGTGCAAAAATACATGATTGGGCTCATACCATGTTCTAAAGAGATTTTAAAGTTGGGGAAATTGAACTCCAAAATCCAAATATCTGTCTCTTTAAAAAAAAATCAGAAGATCTGACTTCAGTGGCCTACCAAGAGTAAGCGACTGCAAAGCTGAGCCAAAGAAGAGGTCACCTCTTTATCCAGGTGTGAAGTGTCAAGGTCATTGTCAATCCCAGCTGGTTCATCTACTGTCACTTCTACTTCTTAAAGGGTTTTGAGTATGTAGTGTTTTCCTTTTTTTTCTTGCACTGCTAAAGTTCAAATGCAGGGCCTCATGCATGCTCTACCACTGAACTATGCTTCCAGTCCTGTAATTTCTGAAATACAGCTTTCTATTTATCCTTTAGTGTGGCTGGTATTAATTTATGGTCTATAAGGTAAAAATTTAACTCAGAACTTCTTGTGTTAGGGCATTCTTTAACACAAGGAAGCGATAATGCTTCTCTTCATTGGGGGAGATGTTCTGAGGAGGATAGCCTATTCCTTTTTAATAAAGTGATGACAATATTAGAGATCTTGATGACCTTAGAACTAAAGACCGTGCAAAATGTGAGCAGAGGGTTTTTAGATTAACGGGCACAAAATTATTCATTGAAATTTATTGGCATTTCTGCCCTCCAATAAATTTGCTGCACTGTATGCTAACAGGACAGAGTGCACTCACTGAGTTCTGCGCCCATGTCACTGGTTCCTAGCTGCAGGGTCTTCAGTGGGCTCTTGCGTCGCAGGAACTTGGTTTTCCTACCTGTAAACTAACTGCTGTTCTGGGCTAGCTTTTTCCCAAGTCTACTCCACTGAACACCAATCTCACATAACATGAATTAACCTTTAATACATGTTATTATATAAGTCCTTATTATATAAATCTATAAATTTCTTGCACAGTCATTAAGTAGGGGGACACACTGGGATATATTACATAGCACAAGTGTCCTTGTCTCGGGACTACTCAGAGCTTTCGATATGTGAGTGAGCGTGGTGACTTTGTGAGGAAATGTAGTAATGCGATAGTGTCCAAATTTGTCTAACAAAACTATTCTTTTTATTGGTTTACAAAGAGCATCTTAAGGATGTCTCTATATATAAAAATTTAAGGCCGGGGGATAGCTCGGCTATCCAAGCACCTGCCTGACAAGGCGCGGGTTCAATCCCCTGTCTCTGTCTGTCTGTCTGTCTGTCTGTCTGTCTGTTTCTCTCTCTCTCTCTCTCTCTCTCTCTCTCTCTCTCTCTCTCACACACACACACACACACACACACACACTGCATAACAACTTGCTATCAGAAGTCTCAGGGACCGTTTACACTTTCCTTTTGGCTAGCATTCCTGTGATGACAGTAGGCACACACTATGGGACATGCAGGTGGCCCACTGACAGATACTTCCGGTCCTCCCAAATTCTCAGCTTTATCCTTCCCTCTAGTCCAGCCAGTGAAGAGTTTTCTTCCCAGTCCACTGCTTTCCAAGGAAGTCAAATTTTCTAATCCTGTCGAATTTTCTAAGTGCCCTCAAGTTCAGATTGAGGGCTCTTCTCTCTTGATATTATAAATAGTAATCTCAATGTCTGTCTTCTCCAATTAAACTTTCTCTAGGGGATGTTTCCTGTTTAGGTCCTTCCACTGGGGTGACAGTGACCTTATGTTTCATGGGAGGAAAAACTACCTCAGGTGACGTAGAAGCACGTATGCACACTTGTGTGAGTCACGTTCTTCTGTGGCAAGACTTCTCCTTTCCTCATCGTGTTTTCTGGTGAAGATACCACCGGTGCAGTGTCTGTCTCTGTCTCTGTCTCCTTCTGTCTCCAAGCCTCAGGTCTGGGCTCTCTCACTTCTGTCTGCCTCTAACATTCACTCCTCTGAGCTCCATTCACTGCAATCACAGTCTTAAGGCCCTAACTCAGTGGTTGTCTCCTTTAGGAGAACATCCCCATGCTCAGAGATGGAAATAACCTCTGCCTCCTGTCCATTGCCCGCCACAGTTGATTTTTCTAACAGTCATTAGCATATTCCCCATTATTTTATTTGTGTCTTAGCTTCATCCTTCCCTCTAGTCCTCCTGTGGCATCATTAACTGGCAGCACTGTGGCACTGTCACCTTATCACTCCTCCATTCGCCCAGTGCTGTGCCTCACACGGAGGGTTGTGGGTGAATTTGCTGCATGCTGTGCCGAATCCCCTCTTTTATGTTTTATTTTCACTTTTTCTGTATTTTAGGAAAGGGTCTACAGGGTGTTCAGGTTCTCACTATTAGATAGGAACTATAGTGATTCTCCTGTTTACAGCCTCCCAAGCCACCATGCCCAGTCTATCACTGTCTCAGTGCGCCCCAGGGGCGGGACCAGCACAGCGGGCCAGGGATCGAACCCCTGATCCCTGCATCTGCTTTCAGGGACTTTAATCTACTGAGCTATTTGGTCGGCCCTGAATCCCCTCTTTTAGAGACCTTTATCCACCCTGGGACACGGGTCTGTCATGGTCATGTCGTCATCACCACCAGGGGCCATGTTAGAAATATTGGTACCTCCAGGTAGAGTTGAGCAGAATGAATGCAGCAATGCTACAAGGATGGTAAAAGACAAGGCAAAAGCCAAAAGCTGTACAAAATAATGAACACAATCATCATACCATCCTTGATAATGAGCAGTATTTGTGTAGTCAAATGAATATTTATGGCAAAGGCAAAGAAGCTGCAACACCTTGCAGTCCTTTGGGCTCACACCCCTGATGCCTCTGATCCAGGTGACAAGTGCCAGTTTGGATTCTGCAGAGACGTAGGAGTTGCTAGCTTTTCCCACCATTGTAGGCTTTCGAATCTCAGTTCTGTGCATCTGTCTACACTCCTTGTGATGGTGCCTGGCTTTTTCATACATGGGCTTCCTCATTGCCTTTTAAGCCATCTTTTGGGCAAACTTCTTTGTCAGGTGCTTTACCTTCAGCTCTGAGAACTGTCTTCACTTTTTCTTAAGGGTTGCTGGCATAGCCGAAACCTTCTGTTCATTCTCTTTGACACCCTCCACGGCATCATCTGCATAGAGGGTCTGATTCATGCCATCTTTACTCTTGGAAAATGCTTCAAAGAGGCAAATAACTTCCTGTGGCCCTCGAAGTTATCATCTCTATGAGGTAGAATGATGAAAAAGACCACCCATTTCATGGAAGATGGAGATGCTTGAATAGGGAAGACTAGGCCACCACCAGGGGCCATGTTATAAATATCTAACATGTTTATTAGAGGGATGAACCAAGGTATCTACTAAGGTGTTTTTATGATTTTGTCAGTTGATGAGAGGTGTCTGTTTCCAGAACAAAACAAAAAAAATTATGTAGTAAAAGTGAATACTTGGGGGAACTACCCACTCGGGCCCTCCTCCTGTCCCTCTCTTGGACAGGAGCTTTCTTTCTCTCAAAAAATATATTCTGCTCATAAAAAAAGTGAATACTTGATGTGTTGATTTATATAGACCAACAATATCACTTTATTGGGAAGATAGCCGAGGATATGCAGGATGTTGAGAGTGTGAGAAATTTAAATACTATTTATTATAAGCGGAAGCCAATAAATAATGTCTAAAATGGATATAGAAGTATCAGTGTATTTTTGGAAATATCATAACAAACAGTTAAGTTAAACATGGTTTCCTGTGGAGGGTGGGGGTAATTTATAGTGAACGAGGTGACAGGGGCTCTTGGGTTTTTAAATAAGACTTTCAAGATGAGTTGATCTCTTACCTATATGAAGTATTAAAACTATTTTTTGAAATGCAGGTGTTTACGCTCTGCTCCAGACCTGTTGAAGAAAAGCCCCTTGAACTTAGCACTTGGATTTTTTGCATGCAAATTCCCTGAGTAAGCCTGATTCCTTGACATCTGCCACCTGGTGAGGTCCTTATATACAACTGTGTAAGCAAAACTACAGGGTACTCAGATGACAACTTCAGAAAAGAGAGAAAGTTTCCAAGCCGCCTACATAGAGCTATGGTGTCTACAGGTTCTAAACCTAAACGTGGGACTGTCTTGGAGAGTTGCAAGCATCCTGGGTCAGGAGCCCCCTGCACTTTACCTTGAAGGTATAGAGACTCCACTGTCCCCGAGCAGGCAGCTGGGGTGGCCGGCTAGGTGTCTGCTTGAGTACCACAGCTGTGCCTGCACCACACGGAGTGCAAAGGTCGTGAGCATTGACCTGACTGCATGGTCGGGAAAGGCTAGGCATGGCCCTTGGTGGCCACACACAGGTGGTGTTTGCAATAAGAACGGGACATTTTGGAGTATTTATTCTTGTTGCCTTTTTCTGAGGACTTAGAAAAGCAAATTCCATGAGGTCAGGAAAAGAAGAGGCAATTGGAAACTCTAGGAAATGTAAAAACCTGCAGAGAAACTGTAATAAGATTGAAGTCAGGAAAGAAGTGGGGATGGGAAGGTGATTCTGTCTCTTTTTACCTTTGAGGCTTTAGCTTTTCAAGCAAGAGGACCATTTCCTGTCTCTGAGAAGGCTTAGAGGCAACCTACCCAATACTGAGGGGCCCGTTCTTCCCTCTTTAATTCTTTGTGAAGTTAAAAACACATTTTTCCAGCTGGGGGTGGTGACACATGACTGTAATCCTAGCTCTGGGGAGGCTGAGGCAGGAGGATGGCAAGTTCTAGGCCAGCCTGCACTACATGGAAATCCTGCCTCAAAACAAAACAACAAAACAAAACAAAACAACAAAACAGAAGGAAAACCATGCTTCTCAATGATATGTTCCAGATACTAACCTTTTCCTCCCACTTCTCTTTGGTCTTTCTTTTTTTTTTTTTTCCTTTTCTTTTATTGAGAAACAAATATCAATGAGATAGTTTCAAAGCTGATTAATAGGACATTTTCAATAATTAATACATTGCACATTGTTATTTTCTCAATGGTTATCCACAGTACAAGAAGCAGACAGGATATCCTGTCCAAACACTATTACTACAAATCTTTCTTCTCATTGAATTAAGCCAAAGTAGCTGTATATCTATCCTAACTATTCTGTATGTACAAATACAAAATGGTCCTTCCTTTGTACCCCCTTTTTTTATTTAGTCCTGTCAGAGGCAGGAATTCTACTGGCATCTAAATGCTATAGGTGCTTGAATTCATCAAAACAATCTAACACAGTCCAGCAGTCCACAATAGTAGAGGGTTATCTGCAGAAGTTGTTGACTAGAGCCTTTTACAGCTCATCGTATTAATAGGTCTTTACTTTATATACCTCGTTTTTATACTTTTCTGCTGGATGGTTAAGACCAAGATAAAGCAAGACCTATATAACAAGAAATGTAACTTTTGTATCTGATAAGGTCAGTCA